TGTATTTCTTCTTGTCATTTCCTGAAAATATAGTATAATATCAAAACTTTGAAAATAACAGACTTTTCACTAGCAAACAATCAATCTTCAAAAATAAAAGCCAACAAAAAAATGAAACAAGTTAATTTGTGGCATCATGCTGACAAGGAGGAGAGTACTGGATATGTTAAAACATTAATTCACATGGAACAACAGATCATGTACGGGCACAGGTTAAAGAAAGGAAACAAGCTTAGAGACAGGTTGTTTGAATTAACCAATTTCATTGTGGTTCTTAACCATATTAATGGTACATTATTCATACTATGATGCTATACTAGTTTTTACAGGCAAGAGAAGCCCGAAAAAAAGCTATAGAGGACATTCTGTTTGCCCTTAAGGAACTCATATTTGCCTTCTTCTTCTGAGAGTTAAAAATCGCATGTGGCATGTCGTAGTTCTATTCCCTGACATGGAAATTTATCTTTGAGCCAAACACAACAATCATCACAAGAAATAGTCTTACCATTTATTTACACTTTGAGCTAAACACAAATGAAGCTATTTTTACACGACCTCTAAGACAAGAGTTATCCTCTTTCAATTTTCTATGAATAAGAAATTGAAAACATAAAGCAAAAATAGTCAAAATCTGTAGTCTTACCTGAAATAGTCTTAGCTGAAATCTGATGTATCAGTAAGTAAATTAGTATCCCAACTTATATTTATTTATCACGAGAAATACTTGAATCATATACATCTCTAGGCCTCATACGAACAACAAAATTCCAATTTGTATTTTTGGGATCTTGAATGTAGTAGACTGGTTCAACTTGCGAAGAAAAAACAAATGGATCATCTTCTAATTTATCACCAGTGTGAATAAGACGTGAAAAATTCACCAAAGTGTAACCAAACTGATCTTGCTTTACACTGGTGCCAGTTGTGTTCACCCAATCACATTTTAATAGCATCACTTTAAACTTATCTGAATAATTTATCTCAATAATATCATTAATTTTTCCATAATAATTGAAGTTTCCAATTTCTGTGCTATTAACAACACCATAATTCTGAGTTTTCTTATTCTCATCTCTAGTTTTTATGTGAAATGTATATCCATTAATAAAAAAACCTTTATATGTACGTGCAATTTTATTAGGCCCTTTGGCCAGGACCTTAATTTCTTCTGTTACTACTGGACCACCATTACCCATAACCTAAAAAAAAAATAATTATTAGCCTTTACACAAGTGTAAATATTAAATATTAAATAAAAACATCAAGCTTAAAGCTTACTGTTATTCTCAACCATTCATGAAATTTTTCATTAATAAGTTTTTCGACATCCCAAGTTGTAAGATGTGTATGCGCGCGCCTCTTTCTTTTCTCACCATCTTTGAAGTGTTCTCTTAATGTTATAAGACTATCACAATGACGTAGCACATATCTATGTGCTTGAGTTAATGATTTATCATCTAGTACAAGTGAAGATACCTTCCCCAATGAAATACCACCACTAGAGAACATAAACACATCTTCCTTTTCAAGTGATAATCCAGTTGTTCTAATATTTTGGCTATACCCCTCCAAATATTTCGAACAAAATGAAATCCATTCCTCAGCAATAAATCCCTCTGCAATGGAGCCCTCAGGTTGTGCTTTATTGCCAACATAAATTCTTTAATATCGAGAAGAATCTGCAAATGATATAAACTCTAAAAATATTTATCATATATGTTAGTAATAGAGATAATATGTCATATGTTACCTTTCAAATGGGTACATCCAGTAGTATTGAACAGAACCACCTAATTTAACTTCTTCTGCTAAGTGTACAAGAAGATGAACCATGATCGTGAAGAATGATGGAAAGAAGGTTTTTTCCATCTTACATAAAGTCATAACGATATTAT